GTGGGCTGATGGCTCGTTTTTATTGGTTGTTCTCCTTTCCATTCTACCTTGATATTGCTGCACACGGCGTCTAATTAGGTGTGCGGATTAATGTGCAGGTCATGGAAGTGTATGGTCTCCAAAGAAACACGGCCCATCTTAAGTGGACGGACACCAAAAAGGCGAGTTATGTCCCAGAATAAATTGTTCCAGTTTGCAGCGTATCCATGGCAACGTGAGAGAAGAGGTCTCAGCCATTTACTGCCAATTTATGTCCGTGGATGTGCTTGTGTGTGTAGCGGCCGATTTTCCAGTTAACCAATAGTGCAGTGGCATCTTATAGACGACTTCTTTCTATTTGAGTTGACCCAACTGTGGAAAAACTCGCAGCGTTCGGCGGGATTTAGATCCGCATAGTAGAGAAGGCCTTTACCGGAAGCCAACGCTCTAACCACTTGAACTACAAGCGCCCCACCTCGCGCCATGAATTTAATCTTACACTTATTTGTCCACTATTTCCCCGAAAAGGGTACAGCATAAATTTTATACGTTAATGCATGACATGGTAGGAGTTAAACCAGTTTCCTTGCTTTGGGCATCAATCTGGTGTCATGCATCAACGTATAAAATTTATACTGTACTCTTTTCGGGAAAACAGTAGACAAATAAGTTATATTTAGTATCCTCGCTTGTCAAAGTATTAGGTTTCTGTCGACTAAGTAAGCCGTGACAGCAAACCGTTTGTGAGAGATGAGTTAATTGCTCTGGTGAATTAGAATGATGTGCACATCAGTTCTTTTTTGCCGTAAAATGGTTGGGGAAACGTGCTGGCATTTATTTTCTATATAGAGATAGCAAAGAATGGGAGTTTGTTATCAACTTCTTTTTTTTAGCCTAAATATGTCGCCTACTGACATTGAGTTAATGACGACGTAGAGCATTTCCAGTTGATCTTTATTAGCGAGAAAAAATGCGGCATTTGCTTAGGGTATCAATAATGTGGGTTTGACTAATGGTGGAACGGTAATCGAACCCCAGGTAACCCGAACGGCCGGCTAATGAAGGCAAATAACTAAATAATTATCATCCAATAACTCTACTCTTTGTCAAGGCTCTTATGTTATATACCCATAATCTGTCATCTTCCATAAGGAGTTTTTAAAACGTCTGCAGCTGCTTCTCTAAGCGTCGCTAAAGAAGAAGACGAATAGTCGAACACCGGATTGATTTGTGTATTGTTCTGAGCTTTCGAACTCGTGCAGGAGTCCATCGTCAGAGAAAAGGAAACAGCAACAAAAGAGTGGCTGGTTATAAAGTGTGTACTAAACAGTTAAAATTTGAACGTGTTGAATTTGATAACTGTCTAGCGTGGGCGCCGATTGGCCACGTCAGAAACGAAAATGGGGGTGATTATAGAGGATGCGGGCCCAAATAACTGTGACGGGCGTCTGGCCGTGACTGTATGTAATTGCGCAATGCTTTGTACGCCAGCGCCAATTCGACACATCGGTTGACTGAATTGGGTCCTGCAGGACCCGAAAGAAAGAACCGCCGAGGATATGGCACGCTATGCCATACATAAAGGATGTCTCAGAAGCGACTGAGCACATAGCTGTAGGACTAGGTGCTAGAATTGCACATAGAACCAAAGCTACCATGCGCAGCAGGATGATGAAAATAAAAGACTGAATTACGCCGAATGAACAATCTGGAGTAGTGCATCGCAGCCCATGTCTAACCTGTCCTTGTAATTACACAGGCCAAACTGAACGCACGCTCGGATTGCACATACATGAACACAAGCTGGCCGTGCGACGAGGCGACGAATTATCACAAGTTGCAGTTCACACCTATGAAACAGATCATGAGTTTAACTTCGCGGCCGTCAAGGTGGAGAGGGGGACAGCCGTTGTGAATGAAATGCCCACGAAGACGAGGAAATGATCACTTTTGGTTTAATCGCCTTCGGAAAACACATCTATCCCAGCCATAGGTCGAAACATCTTAGTGATAAATTTCCGCTACGCTGGTCATTGGACATTTGAAACAGACACTGTGCCATCGGGTGGGAGGCTGACTATGCTGTCCGCATCAACCTGGCATATTGATTCCCACTATAGTGAGATTTTATCGCCTCGACTGCCCAAACCGACATGATTCTCTCGCGCGTTCTATGCGCTTTGAGCGGCGGATGCTACCGTAGATGTGCGTGTGGGTTTTGGAGGCCTCTAATACACTTTTACTTCTTCTATCTTCATTTAGAATACTGAATATGTGATCTTTTCCGAAAAACCAGCTTGAAGATTAAGTTGCGTATAATGTTTAAGTGAGGGTGCACCACAAACATCAGATACTCAGATGTTCGGTCCCACTTGTGGTATGCCGTCCGGTCCTGGCGTCCGTGTTTCAAGAAGGATTAGCTGCACCTGGAAGGAGTGCAAGCGAGGGCTACGAAAATGGTCACGAATCATGGTCATCTGCCTTACGAACACAGATTGACTGAACTTGATTTACTTCCTCCCAACTACCAGCAACTACGCGGTGACCTCATTCAAGCCTACCGAATTATCAGAGGCCATGAGGGCGCCCTAGAATTCTTCGAACTGGCTCGGGCGGTTCATCTGCGGGATCATCCCCGTTAAGCTGCAGAGGAAACCGGCCCATATGGACGTTCGACGGAACGCCTTCTCGCAGAAGGTTGTCGGAGCGTGACGAGGTGGTCCTCTCGGATACTGTTAACATTTTTAAACGCAAACTGACTTCTCATTTGCTGAGAAATTGTCATGAACATTGTGTGTCAGTAGCGGCAGTTTGCAACTGGCTCACACATATCGCTGATGTTAACTCTACATCTGTCTTAGGTACTATTGTTAAAGTTGAACTTTTGTTGCCATCTTTGGATATGAATAGGGAGCTCAAGGACGGAAGCCTTCTTGCCGTAATAAAGTGATTTATTACGAATGCCGCACATGGGGGGGGAGTGTAGCGGCACGTATATGTGCGGATTCCCACTGCATACACCGTCTCATGCGTCTGGTTTTTTTAAATCTGCTTTGGTACCGGACCCAGGTGAGAGGGAAGGAGAAAGTGAGAAAGATGCAATGCAATCCTACTACGACAACAAACTCATTAATGCATAAGGCTCCGTCCTCGTGGACATGCCGCTAGGGGTTTAAGTGTAGACTTCACCGGAAACGACGAGCTTAAAGTAATATAAGAATGCCATCCTCAACCCTGACGGGTATGGTGTCTGAGAGGTAATACTAGGCGCGCCTTAATGTTTGCAGCTGAGAGTATTATGTGAGTAAGCTTCAGTCGGAGAATGGTCTAAGCAGGAATCTATGCCTCTAAACCACGTGAGCGTTCAGGGCGGTTAAACATCAAAGCAGCATTTCTGGCGCGCCTTAAAAGTAAGCCAACGAGTGATAACCGAGGAGATTGTGAGTGTAAGTAGAAGTCTTCTTCAAAAAGAGTCGCGTTAAAATCTTACATGTCAGATCTGTAGCCGCAGAAGTTACGAGTGAGAAAAGAAGGCCATATATAGTGGAGCCTCGGGTAACGAACAGCTCCATCTACGAGCATTTCAGGTAACAAGCGAAACTCTAACAGAAAATGTGTTTCGATGGACGAACTTCCGCCCAGTTAACGAGTTGTCAGTGTGTGTCTGTGCCTCTATCCGCAGTTGAGTCATGCTCACACAGGGCGTGGGTCATCGGTCGCCTGTAGCCAATCAACG